TACACTATCTACTGTATTATTAACAACCCGTTGCAAACAAACTAAATTGTTAACTCCCCACCACCACCAACAACAAGAACAACAAACATTATCAAATCGTGTGTATCAAAATGTTATGAAAGAATAAGTGAAGGTGGAGCTGTGTTATGCTTGAAATAGAAGGAGAGAGATATTATTAGAGACATAATTGCCGTATTTATCGGCGTATAAGACGCACACATCATTTGCCCGCTGTTTTCAGGGAGAAAAAAGTGCGTATTATACGCCTGTAGATATTTTATTAGCTCTATTATTAGATATATTATTTGAGATATTATAGATATATTATTAACAATATTATTAGAGGGAAAACTAACTGTTCAAATTCTTACCATTATGAGCTGGACAAATTACACCCCAAAAATTTTTTTTAAATTTATTGCGCATTTTTTTTCATCGAAAGAAAATTCAAAATGTGCACGAAGTGTGATGTCAGTAGATGAATATGCCTTATGACAATAGATGAATATGACTAATGACAATAGATGAATATGACCAATGACAATATATGATATGACCAATAACAATAAATGAATATGACCAATGACAATAAATGAATATGACCAATGACAATAAATGAATATGACCAATGACAATTGATGAATATGACCAATGACAATAAATGAATATGACCAATGACAATAAATGAATCTGACCAATGACAATAAATGAATATGACCAATGACAATAAATGAATATGACCAATGACAATAAATGAATATGACCAATGACAATAAATGAATATGACCAATGACAATAAATGAATATGACCAATGACAAACAGCTTCAACGAATTATAGGAACAATAAACGTTAAGAACAATGACCAATATGAACAATGACCAATATGAAAAACGATCAATATGAACAATGACAAATATGAACAATGGTCAACGGAATAATGAACACTATGAACAATAAAAATGTGAACAATGGCCACTATGAACGATGACCAAATTTTAACAATGGTGAATATAAGCAATGGACAATATGAACAATGAACAATAGGATCAATGAACAATATGAACAGTCCCCTATATGAACAACTGCCAATATAAACAATATGAACAATGAAACAATATGAACAATTGCCAATGTGAACAGTGGTCAAAATGAACAATGGCCAATATGAAAATTGGCCAATATGAAAAATGATAATATGAACAATTGCCAATAAAGGCAATGAACAATATGAACAATCCCAATATGAACAACTACCAATATGAACAACTACCAATATGAACATTATGAACAATGGCCAATATGATGACTATTGATACTTTCATAGCGCTTATGTCCACGCTATTTTAGAAAACTCACAAACGCTCTGATGTCCTAAAATCTATTTAAAGAAAAATATGAACAATGGGCAATATGAACAATAGCCAAACCGAACAATTGCCAATATGAACAATAGCCAATATGAACAATGGCTAATGTGAACAATCGCCAATTATGAACAATGGCCAATATGAACAATGAACAATATTAACAATGGCCAATATAAACAATGACCAATATAAACTACTTAAATCGTGCTGTAAATTAATTTCTAACATTATAGATTGAAGCTTGGTGCGCAAAGATCAATTTTAACGCACTCCCCTTTCAATTTAATGGTTTATTTTTAGTTAGAAGTTGGTTCTATAAAAATGATAACAAAATAGTGGGCTTAACCTTAAAATATGTGGATCGAATAACGAATAGCCTGATAATCACTCATAAAGAATGAACTAGCATTTATTCTTTTTTTTTTTTTTAGCGTTTACCCTCCAGCCGTTGAACGGGTGGAGGAGGGGGGGGGGACAAAGACATTCAATCACCCGTATCCTTGAAAAGCATTGAATTGAAATGTTGACATGCCCTCAACAACAGGCTAAAATTCCCTAAAATTTAATTCTAGCTAAAACAATAAAGGAAGTGAATCCAAAACAGAAACTTTACCCAAAAAAATCACGGAATGACGTCATGGCACCAATTCTCTGCATTGACACATACCATTTAGAACCTAAGTTTCGTAACTTGCAGTTGATAAAATACTTTCGTTCGTGCTCACTTCACAACTAATAAAGCTCTAACTAATCAACTGCTCCAAGATTTAGAAATAGACTACAATTTCAATATAACATGTTACCTTGTACGAGAGATTCATGAGGGTGATTTAAAAACAATTTATCTTTCAATTTTAAAAATTTGTCGGTCTAGTCTATATTTAATTAACCATTTTTTAATTATTTTTTTTAAACTAATAGTCACCAATTAAGTAATCTTGTGTACGAATTCAATAGCTTGATCTCTTAACCACACTCTGAGCTGAGTGCATGCAATGTTCATCATTGAGACAAACATGTGCAGAGAATACGCTCCATTGGTAAAAATCATTTAAAAATTAAATAAATAGATTCATAAATATCATCCAGAAGCTGACTCAATTCTTACCTGGAAATGTTGACGGAATTTTAACGGTCTAAACTTTACTTGGTGGTAATATTGTAAATACATTAGGCCCTACGTTTAAAATAAAAACTTACTTTTTTACGATGAGTGAAGAGGCGCTAAAATATTCTAATTTATGCTAGTATGTGACAGGTATGGATGAACCAAAAGATATATGTCAATCTTTTCTGTCAGTGACTGGTTTCCTTGTACCAACAATAAGGTATGCAAGTGTATACTGCCTAGGACAGGTTTCCATGAACAAACAGATATTTTATGCAGTCAAAACATCTTTTTAAACTCTACTATCCTGACTGATTCCCACCTCTGACCGAAAAACGATGCTGCTGGGTGTCGTCCATGGCTTGACATGTAAATAGTTTTAAATATACATTTGTTTTGTTTTATTTAATTAATGTAAGTCAATTAATTTTTAAGTTTTTGGTTATGTCTGTTAAATTGTATGTACAGGGTGGTGAGCCCAGCCCTAGGCTGGGGTACCACGCTATATAAAACCCCTTATAATAATAATATTCTGCCTGAGACAGGTTTCCTTTAACCAATATATAAGTCTGTATCTTCTGTCAGTGACAGGTTTAAATAATCTAACATATATATAATGTCAGTATTTTCCGTCGGTGACAGATTTCCATAAACTAACATATATTTGCGCCATTTCACCTTGTCTGTGAAAGGAAACCATGACAAATGCTAACAACTTTTTTAGAAGACAGATAGATGGTGATAAAGTAACTTATAATAAAAAATGTGTTGTAACACAACTTTTTATTTTCTAATGATGCACCCATGGTCCTTGCCGGGTCACGCCCCATCCTGGGAACGCCTTTGATTACTCATTATTGTTGAAGTCATCGGCGCCCGCAGGTAGGGGCAAGGGGGGGGGGACAAAAAATTTATTAAAGTAAATAGAAAATAAAGAGAAAGTAACTAAGCTGATGTCCTTTCCGTTCGTTCACCATACAAATACGCTACAGTAAATTAAAACTATATTAAAACATTACTAAAAATTGTTTGCTCCCCCCTGGAAAGTTAGTTTTTTTTTTTTTTTCCCCCCCCCCCCCCCCCCCAAAAAAAAATTTCTGCGGGCGCCCATGGTTGAAGTTGATAAATCTAATATTTACTACAAAACATTTTTTTTTAATTATTGAAATATTATCTTAGTATTAGGTTAGGTAAAGTGCAAGTACAGTTTAATTGTGAGAATGGCCTCGGTTGGAGAATGCGTTTGAACATTAGGTTGGTGGGACAAAGCTCACATTTTGCTCTCTGAATACTCTCAATTTTCACTTTAACCAAAAGAACAATGAAAATATAACAACGCTACTGAGGTTTTCAGCGAATTTGATTAACATCTTGTCCAGTGCAAAGTTAATTTAACTATTTGTAATTTGCTCCAAGCCAGGTTGATGTAACTATTTGCACGAAGCGAGTTGATCTTTTTTTACTTAAACATCTTGATGTAACTATGTACCAGACAAAGTTTATATACCTACAAGTACTGTCAAGCTGTTTGCTGTAGACCTAACCATATGTGGTACCAGCATTAGGATGGCGATTATGCTGTCAAGATTTTGGTTGTAATCTGGTATCACACCTTACTTCTTGCATCAAGCTCTCAAGTCCAAGGGTCGGGAACATTTTTGTCTGACAGAGCCATGGACTCGACAGAGCCATGGACTCCACGTATTTTGGAAAAGTAATTCTGTGAGAGCCATATATTGTTTAAAACTAAAAATTCAAGTAAATGTGTGCATTTTGTGTAATTTCATCACTAAAAATGCAATAATTATGTCTCTGAATTCTTTTTAATAACATTGTTATGCTGTTGCTAATCAATAATGAGTATTTCTTACCATTAATGCGACTTTTTTTTTTAATAATCGAACATTTGTCTGCGAGCCAGATGCAGCCATCAATAAAGCCACATCTGGCTTGCGAGCCATAGGTTCCCGACCCCTGCTCTAAACTATCATTGCATATTTATTATAACTGATGAATAATTGATAGAGTACTTGTGTTGACTGTTCAAAGATTTGTATCTCCATGGGTTAATGATTTCCAAGGTGAATGCTTTGAAAATAATTGTCCTGGGCATAGCAATACTCTTTGAAATCTATGCAATATGTTGTGGATGCTGATCATAAGGGCCTCTTGTTACAATTATTTTCAATAGTTTTCAAGCTTCACAAGGAATTTTAAGTGTTCCTTCACTTAGACTTTTATTATCAAGTCCTAGCTCTAACATTTCACGGGAACTCAAATGACACAGGCGAGCAAAGCATTGTGATGAAATCAACATGAATTTGAACATTACAATAATTTTCAATTAATTCCCTTGTATTCATCTCTCAAAAATCTATTAGTTTCACTGTATTCATCTCTCAATAATCTATTCGTTTTACTGTATTCATCTCTCAATAATTTTCTATTAAGACATTTTGTATGGTACTTCACTGAGGTAACTTCATAAACCATAAACAAAATAATCAGAAATTGCAAAGTCATACCGGTATATAAATATCAAATTCTTTATTAGTTCTATATCGACTTCCACAACAAGATCTTAAAGAGAATGATTACAAAACCATTCAAGCCTTCTTATTTCTCACTCTTTATCTTCATAGCACAAAACAATATTAGAAAAATTGACACATACATTTGATGCAGATGATCATCACTTTCATTAACTAGGTCCTGTAAATCTAACCACAGCGTTCTTTTGCTGTTGCTATCTAGAGGAAAGGCTGCTATGTGGCTATGAAATGATAGATAACAACAGTCAAAGATATAAGCATCCAAACCAACTACATTAAAGTCATCCAACAGTTTCATTGACAGTAAAGAACTATACAAAACTCTGCACTTGTTTGCTTTAGCTGACAAATGCAAAGATTCCCTTCTAACCAACCACCTACATTTAAGACATGTTCAGTATTTTATGTCTTGATCTCTTCATGATTTTTGCTTTTATGTTAAATGACTTGCACTTAAATTAGACACTAAATTTGTTACATGTAAATTCTCAGCCATTCACAGAATTAAATCACTTTTATCAACAAAATATCAAGTAGTTATTTTTTGTACATTGTATATATCTGTTGACATTCACTTGAAATTTTTTGCAACAAATTCCTCCCCTTTCTTGATGTTGGCAATAAGCTCTGGCATTGCAGCTGTCACTAGATTGCGTTCATAGTCCAACAAATGGCCAATCCCAAGATTCTTTTCTACGCCATTTTTCTGTAATTAGTTTAAATAGAGCATTTAAATTTTATAATAACAAAAACTTTTGGAATCTTAACCCGTGTTCTCTCAATACGTCTGGAGAAACCTTAAAATGTAACTTTACAAAACTTTTTTTTGTGCTTTCATCATTTTTGTTTTATTTCAGATTTCTACTCTGGCTATTACCTTAGGTGAAAAAAAAGGAAGTTGCGACAATTTCCAACTATGATACTAATGATAGTTAACAGAAAAAATATGAACTATAAGCCATAAATAGGGCTCTTTGAACTTCACACAACCTATGTCTGATCTGAGTTAAATAATGAGTTATCAAACTTTTCTGATGGAAGGAAATGACTTACGCCTAATAAAACAGGGGTGGCAAAGTATTTTGCTTCTGTTTCATCAGAACGTACAAATGCACACTGCACTTTGCCTTCTGTGCCATTCATTGCCTCAAGGAGATCACGAGCAAATTTGTTTGCAGCATAAGCCATAGAGAGAGTAGCAGATCCCTGAAATGAGGTAAACACAAAATGCATTTGACATAGCATGTGAATAAATTTATCCCAACATTGACTACACAGGGTCATGTATTGTAATGCCATTTAATATTCTTTACAAATTTAGAAAGTGGAGGGCATAACTTGTTTTTTTTGTCTAAAGAGCATGGGTGGAGAAGGTGCTGCATACAGAAATAAGAACTTAGGCCAAAGTCAAAATTAACAAGAGAACTGATGATAACATTGGCTAACTCTTGACACGAGTTTTATCAAAATATACACATATCATCATTGTTTTTTCTATTTGTCATGTAAGCATAACTTAAATCTGATTAGTAAAACCACAATAGAATTAGTCATTAAAATTGAAATGAAAGTAAGAACGCAAATCTAAATTTTAAAAATGTATGTTTACATTAGTCTAGGTATTCTAAATGAAAATTTCATAACGAAATTAAATAAAATTCAACTATTCCCCTAAATAGAGCTTGACTTCATCAGAACAGAACCACAAATTTTAACTCTCTATCTCCAACAATAAAAAAGTTATAAATTTTTTAAAAATCGGGAACAGGGTCAATTTTTAGAAGCCAGGAAAGTGTAGTTTTGACACCCGCTATCTCCTAAAATAACTAAGTTAGAACTTTCAAATCTCTTGCCCACACAACCAGTTATACATATAACAAGCTCAATTTTTTTTAGGGTTGTCACAAAAATGTAAATATATTTTTTATTCATCCAAAAACGAGCTGAAGCCCAATTTTACAAAATATTAAAATGGAGACAAAAAGTCGATTTTAGTTCATTTTTAAAAAATCATAAAAAATCAATTAGTTAAGTTATTATAAATATACAGGAGTCAAGTAAAAGGTAATTTAAAGCACAACAATGTGAAATCATCAGGTAAAGGTGAAAACAACAAAATAATTTACATAAATTATTTCAGCAAGGCATGTACACAAAAATTGAGAATTTCAAACATTTTTGAAAATTCATAAAAAATTAACGAAGCAAGATATCTTTACGAATGTTACACAGTATTGTAGAACATGTTAATCTTTTCAATAATAAAGTAACAGACTTAGGTTTAGGAAACAAAATTCTTCTCCACATATATTTTAAAAATGGGCATTTTTGCACTGAAAATTTATACTTTCCAGCACCTTAAAAAATGTTCGTAATTAGATATACCTGGTATATATATCTATAAAAGTTATGGAAAATCTGTAGGAAACATTATTAACTATGAATTAGTAATGAAAATCAATTTTCTGCCTTTATTAGCACGTCTGTATGGATTTATTAGTCAGTTTAGAGACATTTCCCTGCACTGGTTTAATGAGACATTTCTGTAATCTGTTCTTGTACACCAACAACCTGGGAGAAGAATATTTTATTTAATTTGTACCGTATTAATTAAATTGTATTTAATTTATATTATTTAATAGTAATGGTTATCAACTTAGCATTTATGATCATGTCATTGCTATCAATATAATAACAAAATGCAAATATAACTAATGATATTACAAGCGGTAGTACTAACCTGTACTGTTGACTGTTGTCCAGTGTTAGTGTTGTTACACGGCATGTTTTGGCAGTGGTCTGGGTCTTCTCGTTCTTTTGTAATGGAATGGTATCTGTCTTAAGTTGTTTTCAGTTTCAACCACTGAAATATGAAATGTTAAAATTAAAACTCAAAAGTTTACAAGATTTTAACTGCCTCCTATTTGCCCTAATTAATATGAATACTGCATACACGGTATATAATTGATAACGTTAGTAAAGTAAAGGAGTAATTTTTTCAGTAAGGTTAATTTTGGAATTCGACATTTACGAAAGGGGGTGAAAGACTAGGTATCGGTAACTAATTTTTAAAACTAGCTTTATAACTTAGAGAAATAAGAATAATTAACATTGCATCACTTTCTTATGCCTCATACCATATACATTTATTTATAAAATGGATTAACAATCGAATTTCTAGTTTAAAAATGAACTCCACTAAAATTAAAGCATCCCGTTCACCCTCGCAACAATAATGCTTCGACCCAACATGAATGCTTCGCTTGAATCGGCTGAATTATCCGAGTTTAATGATTTACTGCAGTTTCCAAACAAATTGCATAGCTACAAAATAAATACCATTAAATATTTAAACATTTCATTGAACTAATTATATTTTCCTTTTCTTTCTCCGCTATCTTAAAATAAATACAGATGATTTTAAAATAAAGCTTGATCGTCATTTTTCACTAGGCGTAAGAAACACGCATTAGTTATCGATAAGCCCACACTAAATTAACAAATGTATGCAATAAAAAGCTTTCTATATAATTTAAACATTCCCAAACTAAACAATAATGTTTAACTTACCTATTTCAGTTTAAAACCCACGAAAAGGCACTAAATTTAAGAAGATCTTAGATAAAATTAGTCATCGCCTTCTGGTTTCACAGATCAGAGTTGGCCGTGGCGGGGTCGATTTGCACTTTTTTTTAGCAGACGGCGTTGACTTGGTTCCAAACCTTTACGCGTTTACCCCATAAATGGGGCGTTCACAAAACTATAACAGTTTTATAGTAAATTGGATTACCTTTCTGAATATATATTTTTGAGAGCCGTAAAGTGATTTTTTCACATAGAAAACGCAATTTTTGTGTTAAAATCAACGTTATTTAGCATTAATTTACAGTTTACAGCTCCGAAAAATACATCATATTAAAGAACTACTTTTCTACTTTCTAGATCAGTTGTTACTGAACGCACCTGTATAACGAAGCTTTAGCGTAGCGAGCTGGCGCGACCCAACCAAAAAAAAAAAAATGTTCTCCCCGAAGCGTAATTTTCGCCGGCTCATTTAGAATACCTAATTAGTCTAATAGTAATGTATATTTTAAAATTTCAACCCCATGTTAAAATAACTGCAGGAGGTACACTTGCAGTTTGTCAGAAACATTTGTGTAAAAGCTTCACCAAGTACCATTGATTTAATGATTGTTTTACAACTTACTGCGCCAGCCTTTGCTTCGACAACTTCAGTACCAGCATTCTGGATTCTCACACTTAACTTGATCCTTTCCTCCTAAAATGATATATAAAAGGATATCTTATCTGATTAATGTTATTTTAATTTATGCGAGAGTTTAAATAGAGTTATGAAACAGGGCTAAGTTTCAAGAAAGGATGGGCTAAATATTAACCAAAAGAAAACGCACAACAACATACAACGCCAGATCCAGACTTCATCTAATCAAAGTCTGTTTTGATATCTAAATACAGGAATTCATATGGTTATAAACCTATTTCATTTTTTAAACACTACCTGACATCTCCTGTCAGTTACTGAGAGCTGTATATCTCGGAAGTTATTGAAGAAGTAACATGCTTTCATACATTTAACCACCTCCCAGCATGTGTACAGTATATAGATATACTTACCAAAAAGTAAAAAGTCTAACTTTAAAATACTCAAGGTATCAGTGGACTTAAAGTCAATCTGCATTACAACATAACAGTGTGTTGTGCTTCAAAGGTTTTAAATGAAATATTTGCAAAGTAACTAACCTAAAGAAAAAACATGAATGAGACTAAACTCTTATTATAATAGATGAAATATAAAATACTCAGGTAATCTTTTTTATAAGGCAAACCTGGGGAAAAGAAACAGCAGGTGTACACTGAGAAATGACTGGCACGATTGTGATACCACTATGACCACCAATAACTGGACAGTTCACTTTAGTCACATCGAGACCCTGAAAATAAAAAAATAAAAAATGATTTACATAATTACATTTTAAACAACGAAAAAATTTAGAATCATTTAGTTGTGTAACATTATTACATTTAAAATGATATTTAAATTTTGGAGTTGCAGTATTGGTAGCATAATGACTAACCTTTCCTTCTGCGATAAAAGTGTTGGATCTCACTACATCAAGAGTGGTCACTCCAAATAATCTTTTTTCATCAAAGACTCCACGCTTTTTTAACACCTCAGCAGCAATTGGAACTGTAGAATTTACCTGTAAAAACATATAAAGTTATTGCTATGTATATAATAATCTTTTAATAATAATATCAATTAATTTGGATATCAGTCACAGCCACTGTCAGTCACCTATCGCAACACTTACCGATATATTATGTGGTAGAGCTAAATTTAAGTCTGATCAAAAGTTATCTGCAACCATAGGGTAATTAACTATACTTTCTAAAATAATGTAAACAAACTCTATATCAATCTGTTCAAACGTAAATCATCTAAGTTTGATAGTTAACTTCATTTGAATTTGGAAAGCGATTCTAAAATTCTAACTCTCTTAAAACCTAGTTAAAAGAAGAATGAAGTGCATAACTATCTCTCTTAACACTTAGTAAAAAAAAAAAAATGAAGTGCTATGTTGTCATGAGAATAGCAGTCAATTTTAACAGTAGAGAACACCCTTAACAAAAAAATCTTGATTTAATAGGGGGAAAATTTTCTTAAAAAATGAAATTTAAAAAAAAATTTATACGTACAGGGTTAGTGATAATTCCAATCATTGCTTTAGGGCAGTTTTTAGCACAGGCATCAATAAGGTTTGCAACAATACTTGCATTTGTATTAAACAGATCATCTCTTGTCATACCTGAAAAATAATCACACACAAAAATATAATTGATCACAAAAGCTATGTCTCAACTGCACGACTTATAATACAATTACTCTGGTGTGATAGTAATTTTATAATTTTAAAGATAAATATTATGGTAGCAAGAATTTATTATACTGAAATCATTACTGACTTGACTGTCCACTGATATTGTCCAGGGTTAGCCGGGTCATAAACTAACACAACATAAGATGACAGGTCAAAAACACATATTTCATAATTTTTAAATCCACACAAATAGTCAACATTAAAATATGTTAATATAACTGAAAAATATTTTTTGTGTTTGCAAACTATTTATCAGATTTAGAGATTTCCTTTTATACACCTGTAGAGTTAGAACATTTAAAAAGATTAATATCTGATACAAACCTGGCTTTCTAGGCACCCCAGCAGGAATCAAGACCAGAGCTGCTCCTTTCACACATTCTGCTAACTGTTCACTTCCAAGATGACCTGTTACTTTTGGCCTTGTTTCTATGTGACTAAGGTCAGCAGCAACCCCTGGTGTGTGCGCGATATCATACAAAGCTAAATGTGAAATTAAAGGTGATTGCTTCAACAGCAGAGATAGTGGTTGGCCAATTCCACCAGCAGCTCCCAACACTGCTACTTTCACATCAACCTGACCAAGGAAAAAAAAATATAAATATAGTTGAGATTAAAATGTATCATTAAACTTACCAATATTTCAGTTCTGACTAGAATTATTTTGATAGGGCTTTGCATTCATTAGTTTTGAAATTAATATTTTTTTTTTTTAGTTTTTGAACTTCCTAAACATCCTAAAAGAATGTCAAATGCAGCAGATTATTTTAAATGTCACTGATTATTTTGAAAACGTTTTCCAAATCAAAAAGGTGACCTAATTTTTCCTGTTGGCCAGTAAATTTAATCAAAGGTATAGTATAGTACTCTAGTAAGTAGCAGGCTATCATTAAGCATAACTGATTTTTATTCTTGCTTAATTTACCAATAGGCTAGGCTTCTAGGTTAAAACACTTAGGATTACTGCAATAATATTTAATGTTATGCATGCTTTTTCTATATAGCTTATAAGTAAAGATAGCCCTCAGTAGTAGTGAATGTGAAAATGTTTTGTAACTGAAGATAGTAACCAGGCAAGCCATAGCCCTGCCAAACTAAGACTTCGATTTTTCTATATTACTCAGAGACAACAGATTAGTAGACAGGGTAAAAATGGTCAAATAAAACAAATTAGGCATATAGTGAGTAAAATAGTAAATTAAAATACAAGCAACGCAAGTCATGCCAAACAAAAATTGGGGAAAATTTTTGCTATCCGGCCGGTACCAGGTTTCCCTGTGTTGGTAACTACTTTCTTTCTACACAGCAGTCATCTTTGTTGCCATGACAGCAGCGGATAACACTGTGGCTTGTGTTGTTTGTGTAGAGGAAACTGTCACTTCTGAAAACTACAGCAACAATGTCATTTATGCCACCCATAGCTATAGGTTATCTGGGCGAGATGGGTCTTTCAGACAGATTTACTATACACCTTCGAAATATTGTGCAAGATAAACAATGTCATATCTCAACTAAATTCAACTACAATATAGATCTACTGTTAGGTTGAATAGGAAGAAGCCATCTTGATAGGAAATAGTCGGAAGTCTCTGTACTCAGCTCTCACCTGTGGTTCATAGAAGCTGTAACATGCACAGCGACAGCAACCCAGACAATGATTCCAGGTTGAGGGTAGCTGAAAGGCATAGAACTTTCAGAAAAAAAAGGGCTTGTCCCCCATAGCATGTAAAGACTGAATCTGGCAAATTGTGTGGAAAAACCACTACTTGGTCAGCGGACAAAAGGCGGAGACAGCAAAGTGATGTGAATCACTAAGAGCATGGCCAGACACGTAGAACGCCATGGTCATTCACTGCATGGATGACTGGGTGGCCGAATGGTCTAAACTGAAGTTAAATTACAGCCAAAGGCCAGTCAAGCAAAAACATCACTCCGGGTGGATGAGACTTGTTAACCTTGGTCAGCAACTCATCTAAGAGAAGGAAACTCTGAATTCAAACCCTGAGTTGGAGTCCCGTAAGGCGCATACAATGACAATTCCTGCTACAGTACCCATCCCTGGTCGTCTTGACGTAGAGTCTTGCCACTGTATATGGTGGGCCCGGATGACGTTGAGTTGACGTCGCGCAACTCTTCCTCACTTTAAACAAAAGTCGCCTGCGAAAGTCATCAGTCACTGGACGACTCGATGGTCCTCGTCGATCCTCGACGGATGAACAACATATATCAACACACTTAATTAGAAGTGACCAAAAGCAATTTTACAATTACCACCAGGGTAAACTCAGAACAATCTGATAAACACCTATAACCTATGAGACCTTGACACCACTTGGCATGAATGTCATGTTCTGCTTCACTAGTTAGCTCTTTTCTCCAACCCCCTTTTTTACAAAAAAATCACCTTGGACTTACTTTTCCTCCCCCCTTTGCCTATAATAATAATAATAGGCTATATTAACTATGACTAGGTACTTTGACACACAATTTAAATATTGTCTGATTGTCATGAATCATACATCATTTTAAAGGGCTAGCTATAAGCTTTACAACAAAACCAATTTCATCTTTCTATCTTTTATAGAAGTGGAGTTATGATTTTTTTGGTGATTTTTTAAAACCCCCTTCTTTATCTTAGTATTTAAATGAAAAAACGTGTGACCCACTTTCCAAATTTCTGCCTTATTTTGCCCAAAACTTTTGGATTTTAAAAGATAATGCTACCAAATTTTCAGGAGACATTCTCAATGCAATATACAACGCAATAAACAACAAAACTTTTATATAACATCAAGACTTTTATTTTTTAATATATTTCTTTGAGGGTATGTTCAGAAAAAAGTGAACAGAAAAATTGAGAAAATCATTATTTATACAGGAAAAAACGAAAAAATAACATGTTTATTGAATTTTAACTAATTTTATTATGTGTGTTAAATTTTAAATCAATTATTATATTTATAAAATGGTAAGTAGTCTTTTTTTTATGTATAAAATTGAACGCATGTATATGAAGACGACTAATTTATTTAAAAAATGTGTTCTATGTACTGCTTTTCTATGTTCTAATAAAAATATAATTACTATGATGATGTTTGAGTCTTGTTTATTAATTTGATGTATTTTATAAAACTTTTATATTATATATTATCATTAATATTTAATTATTAAAAATTATTATAATTTATAATTTAAATTTAATTTGATTTCTATTTACCAAATTTGGAAATTATCAATATATTAATATATTAACAATTTGATTATGTAAATTAGGCCTTATGTAGTACTAGAAAATTTGTATTCGTTTATTAAACTTAATAGTTTATAGGTATAATTATTATTATTATAGTATAGATTAGTAAATGGTACCGGTACTGAAAACTTACGTCTAACTTAGTCTTAGTGGCTAAGCTTAGTGAGTTAGTAAAGTAGAGTAGAGTTTGACCTATAAATTATAGTTAAATTGTAGTTGTAGGTCTAGAAATAGTAGGTGGAAGCAAACTTAAATTAGATTTTATTTATTATTTCAATTTCTGTATTCTAAAATTGCAATTTACTTAGATTTATTCAGATTCTAAAAGATTACGGAATATTAAAACTTTTTTTTTATTGATACCGAGAGCGAATTTCGTTTCCGGTGAAGATACAAAATATGGAGAAATTTATTTTTTCCGTCTGGTGATGGGAGGGTGACGAAAATAAGAAAGGTTTATTATAACCTAGCAAATAGAATTTGTAATATTTCAAAGTTATTCCTCAGTCAATTTAGATGCTTAACTCGATTCTTTAGGTTTAAATGTTGTGCAATAGCTGAAACGGAGTATTTATGCATATTTATAGCTTACCGTATGGTCAAAGTGACACAACAAAAGAACAGAGATAAATCAAGTTGGTCTAAAGATATGTGCGTCACCGGAAGAAAAATATTTATCGTAATTGATGACAAAATAAATGTACAAATAGGAAACTGTGACGTAAAACGCATAAAAGTTGAGGTCACCGTAGAAGCGATTGTAACATGGCCACTTCAGTTTTCGCGTCTTTTTTCCGTATGCGCAAACTGAATGCGCGAGCGGGTATCGATATGCCTACTATGACTAAAATCAAAGAATGGTCTACCACATTCCGTTTGCTGTCCTCTGGGCATACAACATTTCAGCTGTTTTTATTTTTATATTTGATTTAGTAGCCTATTTGTCCACTAAAGAAGGCTTCTTGGTGACATGTTCGTTTTGTTGCTTCCTTTTTTGGGGTTTTTTACCATACTCCATAGCGGTACCTTGTTACAACTTGTACATTTCCTTCATAGTCATTCTAATTTTCTACCAAAACCTAATTGAAATCTCGGTAGATCTCTCCCCCTAATTATCATTAACATGGGAGTCGTTCACTCACACATGGAATCACAAGGTGGTATCTGATAGTGCGAGTACTTAGGGTTTGAATGGACACCTGGTTGGCCTTTTATAAGCTAGTGTATGATGTGATTTGAGCCGCCGCAAGAAATGCTCAACTTTCAACCTTCGAGTCTTCTTTCTCCAACTCTAATATTAAGATCACCATCTAGTTTCGTTGCGACAGAAATTATAAGTATCCGAGCAAAAAAGTACCCATTAGCCATATTACCTTAGATGATGTTGAAAAGTTGCTGCGAAAGACATAGCAAAGTTGTGTGGATTTCAAGACTCTTGAAAACATTTTAGTGCTGTTAGCTGTATTGTATGACCTCGACACCAGTTAACGACATGAACAGGATGAGCAGGATACGAACTAAATTAAAAGTCATGCGCAAACGCTAGTTATATATTACTCCGCACTTGACTACCGACTAATTATTTAATACAGTGGTTTCGAAATTAAAATGATTGATTTAGACAGTTTTATTAACATAGACATACGCAATATTAACTCAATTTAATATTTGGAGTAGAAAGTAAAACATTAGTTCGGTTTATCCGTTTCTTCTTTAAACCTTGTCAAAAATCATACTCAAAATGCCTATTTTTATGGGCACATTATTATTATTTATAAATGGTGTTACAGGGCTACACCTTTTTTTATAAATAAAAGGAAAGTGAAGGGGCTAGACTACGCGAATGAAGTAGCTGTTTACTGCTGTATTGTCTGTATTATCGCGTAAGAAAATCATAATGGAAGGGTTACAATTAATTGGACCAAGTGAATTGTATAATTTGCTTCAACAGGGTAGCAGTTACTCTTGTTTAAGTGATACAAACTTTTTACTCTTGATTGGTAAGTTTGCACCCTCGTCTCTGACAAGTAATTTGTAATTTAAGAGAAGCGTTATTCGCAGATTTCTGTGAATAATGTTGAGCGTTATCGACAGACCGAAATCTTCGTGAATAATGCGGAGTATTTGTAGACATAAATTTTACCATAATTAATCAAATTTCTAGAAATAATTAGGATCACATTCCAACCCGGGGGGTGGGGGGGGGGGGCCGCGGGGGAGAGTGTTAAGTAGGGTAAGGATAAATCGATCTTAAATGAGTATCAGTAAAATTTAATAGGCCTAACTATAGTTATAGCCTATATATTAATTAATCAAATTTCTAGAAATAATTAGGATCACATTCCAACCCGGGGGGTGGGGGGGGGGGCCGCGGGGGAGAGTGTTAAGTAGTGTAAGGATATATCGATCTTAAATGAGTATCAGTAAAATTTAATAGGCCTAACTATAGTTATAGCCTATATATTGGATATAGGACAATTAATTGTGCCTACATCTGCTCTGTTAGGGGTCAACATAGGGTCTATTTGACCTATAGACTATAGAGTGTTACTAATATATCCAGTCAAACCTCCTACTCCTAGACATAACTAATTTTCTGGTATTTCATATTAAATGTTATACCAGTAATAAACATGGTACCGGAATTCTCCATGTAGACTCACTTTCACCCACTTTAGAGAGGTCTTAAAATGATGCCAAAGCTTGATAGGGTATCATTTAGTTTTTTTAAGCACTATGATATATCACCTAGTCCAGAAATGTTCTGTCAGAAATAGTTGACATGCCGTGCAACAGTGTTATGATGCAGAGAGGTGGCTGCATCAGGCGGCCATGTGAGAGACGGGGAGGGGTATATAGGCCCTACATCGATAATAACAGAATCTAATCTTGTTTAAGTTTAAGGCTAGTATTTTTTCCTCATCCTTGAGGGTGTCCCTAAGTCTACCCAGCTCTGGCTTTAGCTGGGAAAAGTTAAGGTGGCTGGTTATTGCACTGGCCATACACTCAAACTTGTAAACGCTGCTTCAATTGCCCCAAGGGAACTTTACTTCCCCAAGACTCGTATTGTATCCTACGACCAGCAGGGTTCAAATTAATTTTTTAAAGCTTTTTTTATATTTAGACCCATAGTTACAACAGTGGAAGTATAGCTTTTTGTTTCAATTATCAACATTTTTTTACAAAAGCTAAAATTGTTGATGTCAATGATATTGATATGTTTTAAGTACGGTACCGGTATGTTCATTTCATTTTCATCACTTAGTGTTACTTCAACTATTTCTGGAGCGGCATTATTGTGTCCATACTTATTATGATACTCATTAGAAACTAAAATTAAAAAAATTAAAACATGACATATTTTTGTAGCTAAACATTGATACACAAATCTGAGATATAAAATATTTGAATAAGTAAGTTATTAATATTTATTTGTTTATTAGAGAAAAAACAAATGGATGTTAAATTCTATGAATGGAATTATACAAAGAAAATTAAACAGTCAAAAGAGCTTAAAGTATATCACAATGTACAGAGTTAGAACAGCTGTACCTGGCTTAAACATGATTTATGTGGCTCATCTGCATGTACATGTTGTTTACAGTTTTTTGACAAAACTTGAATAAACATTCTAACAAAATAGATAGAAACTAGAAATTTGAATACCTACATTGTTGGACAGAATGAAAAGTATAATAAAATTGTATAAATAAAAAGTATAATAAAACTATATGAAAATAATAATAATAATAGTAAAACTATGTGAACAGAATAATAAAGCTTTATGAAGAGTATAGTTATAATATAACAATACAAAATAACCTTTAAATATTTTTTTAAAAACATTTATTTGTAAAATGTAGCTTCCCGGTGGGGAATCGAACCCAGGTCTTCCGGGTGAATTGCGGAGATACTTACCACTATACTACCGAGGAGATGCCTGCATGCGAAATTTGTATTTTATATTCATAATTTAATTTATCACATTCTGTGAATAATGCCGAGCGTTATCAGCAGACCGAAATCTGCGAATAACGGCGAGCATTATCTGCACAGCTCTGTGAATAATCACTTCGTTTGTATAATAATATATTATATTAATTTTAAAATTGATATTATAATTATATTAAATTATTTATTTATGATGAATATATTTCATCTGATCTTTTATTTTTATGCCAACCTTTGCGATAAAAATAAACTTAAATAATGAGAACCCAACTTTTACTTTATTACAGATTGCACCATAAATAAAATCCAAAAGCCAAAAGATATCAATTTGAATTAGGCATAAGTAAAAACCATTTATCAAATGATCCTACTCACACCAGCAAGAGTGAAAAATTCATTTTAAAAAATAACTCACAAATTCGTTAATCAAAGTTTCACTGTGCAAAAAAAAATATTTTTATGTTGTGAGTGTAATTTTTTTTATTTTTTTTAAATTATGTTTTGGGGGGGGGGGGGGGCACAAACTTAAAATCTCCCCTGTAAATCATTTTTTTTTGTTATGCCCCAAGATCTATCATAGTTTTAAAAAAAATTAATCCTGATCTTTAAATGATATAGGTAGTAGGGAAAACAAATTGTATAACATTATTATAAGATGTTAAATTATTGTCTTTATGTTTGCAAACACAGGATTTATAAAATTATGGAACTGTTTTGAAAAATTATGAACCCTCCCATTTCTATTAGTCTGTTACATCATTGAAGGAATCTTAAATCAAATTCAGCTACTTTGGTCTATGAACTTAATTTTATTAACCCAGAGTTTAACTAGCAGTTCTGCCTCATATGTAGATAATACTTGATGTAAAAACATTGTACATTTTAAAATAAATACCATCTTAATAAAAATTCTTCAATGGAAGCCAAACAAAATTTTAAAGAAATTCTGAATGCAAAAGCTTACAATTACAGTGCCATATTGGAGCAAAAAAATGTAATCCATAAATTATGTCATTCTATTTCGGCATATTATTTACACCCTCCTCCCCAATCATCACAAATTTTTAACACAAATTAGACACTAAATTTTATAATGCATTGACGCAAATTTGTGAACCCCCCCCCCCCCCCC